TGTACGTCACATAACTTAGAAAGGCCAGGTTTAAGGGCAACGTGGCACAAGACCGATTTGAGTAAAGCAAGGTTTGGGATTAATGCAGCTTTCTATTCAATAAAACCGACCCTGAAGAGACTAGGTTACTGGTTATGTATAATCTTCGTATGGGCGGCTGTGGGAGAGGTTACAGAGGCACATTTATGATAGGCTCAGCAAATGAACCAAAATATTCATTTTGTTAAGCAAATCACAGTCTTGATAAGCTAATTACATAGTTTAATGTTTATATATGTACAGTACGGAGCAATAACACTAACCTAGTTTTTTTTGTTTACAAACAGGTGGGTGCAGGAACAGACTGTTGTTGTTGTTAAAGATTCGCTACCTGGAACAAAAAGTTCCAAGCAACACGGGCTATGGTGAGCCCGTAGATAGAGGAACAGACGACTTCTGACTCCTATGAGGAAGCTTAGAGCTTTCCCTCTTCATTTTTCATTGGAACGCGACCTGCCATTCAGTTTACAACCAAGTGCCCAGCCAATACTGGATGAAATAAGGTAAATAGTTAAGTATTTGTCCTAAGTTAGTTCCTCCCAGGCTAGGACTCCGTAAGGAGCTAGGGAGCGTCTTACCCCTGCGCCACCAAGACCATAAGTAGACTCCCAGGGATTTGCACCTTGTCTTGGACTGCTTTTCTTGCCACTTTTTCTCGGCTGAACAGGAACAAAATCATTATATTGATCAAGGCTTTTGGAGCTTTCAAATCTTGCCTTGTTCATTCAAAATCATGTAAATATATATATATATATTAGGCTACTCCATATCAGTAAAGATGTCGAAATAGAACATTGTTCTTCTGATTAGTTGAATTGAATAGTTCTAACGTATATGCTGTGGTAATATTAAGTATATACCTCGAGTTTCATTGTATATATTATTTAGAATGTTATTAGCGCCTACGCCATGTGCTCGCCACTCATATAAGGTATACAGGTACCAAACAAGATACACAGGTATCATACAAGGTGCACAGGTACCACACAAGGTGCACAGGTACCATACAAGGTGCACAGGTACCATACAAGGTGCACAGGTACCATACAAGGTGCACAGGTACCACAGAAGGTGCACAGGTACCACAGAAGGTGCACAGGTACCACACAAGGTGCACAGGTACCACACAAGGTGCACAGCATCATCTTTTTCTACCACAGTCTAATTTTCGAGTTTTTCAACAAATATCCTGTCCAGGAGTGAACAGAGGCGGAAGAGATTAGGAAACTCCACTATTTTTTTGTATTAAACCCGCTATTCATGCCCTGACAAAGTCTCTTCACACGCCACTGAAGCCGGGAAGGATAATGAAGGTGTCTAATGACTTGAAATTAACTAGTAATTACTCGAACTGGGCTATTAACGCACTGTTAACTGACTGGATTCTTGCTAACAAAATCTTAGTAAGGGGAGAAAAATATTGTCTAATCTTGTCACACAACCCAAACAAGTAACTAATTAGATTATTCACTAAAGCTCAATGGCACATCAGTGAAAAATAATTAATTCGGAGATCAATCATTTTAAAATCACTTTCGATCTATCACCTTTACTATCAGGCATAATATGTTAACATTCCAACAGGAGATCATTGTCAACAACACAAACCAATTGCAACAATGCTTCTATTCCGCTCAAATGATGAACACTTAACATAGCTATAATATAATATATAATAAATATGTAGCTAAAATTTCTTAGCTATGATGGGAGAATTGCTGGGAATTTTGGAACACAGTATACCTAGGTAAACTTATGAACCTCACTTAGAGACGTATACAATTTTATGTCCCAAGCCTAATGAAGTCGTCGCCATTTCAACTTTATTGAAATAACCAGCCTATCCTCCTAAAATGAAAGTACTTACAGTAACTATTTGGTGGAAAACACCAGTATGTAGTGATAGACCACCAGAAAGTACCAATATCACTACATATTGGTACTTTCTGGCGGTCCATCACTACACATTGGTACTTTCTGACGGTCCATCACTACACATTGGTACTTTCTGGCGGTCCATCACTACACATTGGTACTTTCTGGTGGTCCATCACTACTCATTGGTACTTTCTAGTGGTCCATCACTACATATTGGAACTTTCTGGCTGTCCATCACTACATATTGGAACTTTCTGGTGGTCCATCACTACATATTGGAACTTTCTGGCGGTCCATCACTACATATTGGTAATATCTGGCGGTCCATCACCACATATTGGTACTTTCTGGTGGTCCATCACTACATATTGGTACTTTCTGGCGGTCCATCACCACATATTGGTAATATCTGGCGGTCCATCACCACATATTGGTAATATCTGGTGGTCCATCACCACATATTGGTACTTTCTGGCGGTCCATCACCACATATTGGTAATATCTGGTGGTCCATCACTACATATTGGTACTTTCTGGCGGTCCATCACCACATATTGGTAATATCTGGTGGTCCATCACTACATATTGGTACTTTCTGGCGCTCCATCACTACACATTGGTACTTTCTGACGGTCCATCACCACACATTGGTACTTTCTGGCGGTCCATCACCACACATTGGTACTTTCTGGCGGTCCATCACTACACATTGGTACTTTCTGGCGGTCCATCACTACACAATGGTACTTTCTGGCGGTCCATCACTGCACATTGGTACTTTCTGACGGTCCATCACCACACATTGGTACTTTCTGGCGGTCCATCACTACACATTGGTACTTTCTGGCGGTCCATCACTACACATTAGTACTTTCTGGCGCTCCATCACTACACATTAGTACTTTCTGGCGCTCCATCACTACACATTGGTACTTTCTGGCGGTCCACACTACACATTGGTACTTTCTGGCGGTCCATCACTACACAATGGTACTTTCTGGCGGTCCATCACTACACATTGGTACTTTCTGGCGGTCCATCACTACACATTGGTACTTTCTGGCGGTCCATTACTACACAATGGTACTTTCTGGCGGTCCATCACCACATATTGGTAATATCTGGCAGTGTAGTCAAGGTTGGTGAAGACTAGAGATAAATACCCATCTTCATCGTCCTGGTTCATCTGGGAACACAGATAAATCCTCACCCGGAGATCTACACTCTAGTTATATATATTCATTTTTGTGTGTGTTTAAATTTAGGCCTAAGGCCAGGTACGGGAACCGGTTAAGGGGGAAAGGAATAATCCTAAATTAAGGAAATTGGCGAAGGGGAAGCGCCAAGCCATTACAACTATATAGCACTGGGAAGGGGGGTCAGAATAAGGATTTGGGATGTGACGGAGGGAAGGAATGGTGCCGAATCACTTGGACGGTCGGGGATCGAACGCCGACCTGCAGGAGTTTAGGTACAGTCACGAAAAAAATATAAAATTGAGAATATATTAAGATTATTTCTTTTAATGACTTTTCTTTTATCTCATTAAATTATTTATCACTCCTTGTGTCACATGATATATAGTTTAATTTTCATATTTTCTTATAATTAAATAATTAGAAAGTTAAAATGAATAAAAACGCCCTTATTCATTGTATTTATTTATTAGAAATTAAATATAAATAATTAAATACAACAAATTAAATATACTGGTTATATTATATAGTTTTTACATGGTATAGCACGGCTGTTTTTGGCCATAAGGTCACTTATTCACACAGTATTTCCGCAAATACCATTTAACAATCTTTAATCCCTATTTATATTCTCACATTCCCAATCTGCACGCTGCTGGTTGGTCGGTAATGCGGTGGCCTTAACAGCCCACTCGCGGTTGTTAGGTCTTAAGACCAACATCAAATCTAGAAACAGGTGAACAAATCCACAAGGGCCGTGACGAGGATTCGAACCTACGTCCGAGAGCATCAGAGACGCTGCCTTAATCGACTGCGCTACGACATGGTAAAAAGAATTGCAACCAGAAGTTCTACTGAACTTACTTGGATCCTGCAGCCTCACGGAGACACAAACCAGGATTTTACACAATTCCCCCATGCACTCGAGCTGTCAATAGGCCGTTCTACCTCTTCGCCTACTAGAAACAGGTGTTACAGGTGTGTACAGCAGAGAGGAGAGGTTAGGGGAGTGTGGGGGTGGAGCAGACATCTCCACACCTCACCTCGCCAGAACACAGGCCGACATGCAAGCCTCATACTCCCAACCCGTTATGAAGTCTCGCCAGTGATCGTCCTTACGCGCCCTTCCTGGTTGAGGGGGTGTGCACTCCTGCTAAGCACTTTCACTCTAGCTAGCCTGGCAAAACAATGTAAAAAAAATGCGCTTAGGAAGTAAGATTTTGAAGTCTACTCGCCATCCTCGATATTAAAGTTAATTGTTGTGAAATTGATGGGTGTAGGTGGCAGAGATATAATATAGATCAAGATTATCTAGTGCACCTTTACCGACTGAGCATAAATTAAGATATATTGTCGGTCTTGTCCTTTTAAATGCAGAGAAGTGTTCGTGGTAAATGTCAGCAGTGAGCAGTGTACTTGTCAATCATGAGGTGGGCTATTAAATACGCTGCTTCCTGTGTCGTTCCTACGCCCTGCTCCTATCTACCACTTCCACAGGATAATGTCAGGCCAGTAAGTGCTCGTCTATATGATCCCACTTCACCTCTTCCTGTCATGGACACCAAACTGGTATCCAAAGCGTTGCATCATTGGCTGTGTTTGTGTTGAGGAAGCTGACTGGTTAGTGGTGGTGGTGGTGGTGGGTTGGTCCCCTCCGGCGGGGGGTGGAGGAGGAGGGGGCGGTTTTGCTGCAGTTACTCCCCACTCTAATAGACCGACAATGCACTACTACCTATCTCAACGTTTAGCCTATCCAAGCCCTCTCGAAACATGTAACTCACTGTAGAACACTGCCATTTTAAGGAGGTGTGTGTGGTAATGAAAGATGGAGCGGAGAGGGACAGTTGCAATAATGCGGAGCGGCTGGACGGGTGTTTATAAAAACTGGGACGGGTGTGAGGTGCGGCATTCTGGGCGAGCCAGCAGTGGGGTTGACAGTGTCGGTGTGCGGCGGCGAGCAGGTCTACCCACATATTGGCTATCCCAACATCGCCTCCTCGTAACCAACTCTCCCTATACGTAGACGCTCTCACCGGAGACCTGTGCTTGGCGTGTTCACGGTGCGACGGACGGGCCACGCAGATTGTAACACTCTGTAAGGGAACAAAGTGGATGCGACTCTGGCCCAGCGCCTTCACAGGGGAGCTTGTTTACGAAAGTTGCGTGTGGAAAGAGGCTTATTGAGACATCATCAGCGAATATCAAAGGTATGTGTGTGAGCGCTTCTTGTGGTTTGGGGTTGGTGTGTGATGCTAGTGGCCCGAGATGAGAGAGGATAGTGATGCCTGGAGGCTGGGACGAGGATAGGCTGCCTCACCCACCAGCGCACTCCGCCCGGTATCCCAAGGTCCTTCAATTATGTAAAAAGAAAAAAATCTCCCACACTTTTTTGGAAAAAATACATTGGTTTTCAGTGTTAAATAATTAGCGTTAATTATAAAATTATTAAGTGTGGTGTTGATTCGCAATTGTGCTCGAAAAAGGTGTTTAAAATTGATTGTTTAAATCCAGTATATTGTGTGGTTCATTCGTTAATTTAGAAGATACATCTCAGAAAACCTTATAATCTCTACGCAAATGTATAATTACTCCAAGTTGCATGTTATCCAATCCTTTAAAAGTCGGGTTACACATTGTCTCGGCAAATGGCATTGTCTCGTTAATAGCAATTATAAATATTCGTTTTTTGTTGGAGTACCTGAAGGAATTCACTTGTCTTCCGCGACGTGGTCACCTTGCCAGCTGTAATCTTTGTTTAACATTAACATAATGTTTACGCCTCCACAGAACTAATCATTTCCGTGTTGTCTTAGTGACGTCATCAATTTGAGCTGGTGTTAACACATTGGTCATCAGTAATCAGTCATATATATACAATTATATATATATATATACATATATATATATACAATAGTCTGTTACCAATCAGACTACAGTCATGTGTTGCTTTCCCACACATGTGATCAACATGGCATGTATGTACGTAGTGTGTAGTTACGGGGAGGAACACCACTGACAGGTTTAGCAAAGATCCATTCATATAGTCACGTGTAGGCCTACCAATGACTCGCTAAGCCTAGCTTCATTCATATAATCTATAGTCACTTGTAGGTTAACCCACTAGCTTATTGAGCATAGCATCATCCATTTAGTTTAGTCACGGGATAGGCCTATACTGGCTTGTTTAACACCATCCACGTTCCCTTAGTGAAGTGTAGGCCTACCACTGACTTGTTCATCTTGTTGTTTAAGATTCAGCTACTTGGAACAATAAGTTCCAAGTAGCACGGGCTATGGTGAGCCCGTAGTGGACTTACCTGGCACAGGAGCGGGGTTCAACACACTAGTCTCATTTATATAGTCCAGTCAGGAGGAAGGGAACAAATGAAGCCTAGCATCGTTCACACCACTAACGGTTCGTATCCCGCTGTGATAAAGCCAATAAAGTACACAGATCTAGTAAGTCAGTTCATGACAGGGTAATCTGCTGAAGACAAACAAATGGAAATATTATACTGTAAATGCTCGGTGGCATCCCACCTCCACAAGCAACAATACACATTTACACTGTCGATATGTTATAAGGATTAACAAAAACAAACAAATCATTAACCTAATATTTCCTGTTTAATAAGCAGTCTTAAACTTAATATACACAATATTAGGCCTAATTTAGTATATTGTACTAGGGCCTAAAATGGTTAAATTTAGTCGTTGTCTTCAGTCTCGAGCCGTCTATAAAATCAGTTTAGCAAAAGGTGGATTTGTTTGCATGCAACAGTCCACTACAGTCGCTATAGGCAATGTTATTCTTGCAAGACAGTTTGCAACTTGGGATAATCCTTTCTTGATAGATTGAGACGAGGGAAACGCAGCAGGAAACACTTCCAGCATCATCTAGCTGCCCACAGGGGCACTTGGCAAAGTTTTGTGGTGCTTGCTCCAAGCGACTGACTTGGGGCAGGCAGGCAGGCAGCCAGGCAGGCAGGCAAGCAGACAGGCAGGCAGGCAGGCAGCGAGCCAGACATTATCTTATATGGTTAAAGATGACTTTCCTCGGATCAAGTGGGAAGCCATGGCATGCCGTTTAACAGTATCCAAATATACACCAGACGAACTTACCTGCATACATTTAAATAGATTAAGAAATCAGGCTTCCGTAGTGTATTCTGAGCGCGGAGAGACCAACGCATTATACAGTGTTACTGCTAATGATCTCAACGTTGCTTGGTTTGATACCCAACACCATTGTGTTGACTCTGTTGCTGAGTGGGGCTTAAGGTCGATACTCCCCTAAACTCTGAAGGTCTGGCTCTTCTTTAGCCTCTCGCAAGTGGCTTTCCAAACGCCTCGAACATTATTGGAGGTAATATGCATTACCTGCGTTTATCTACAGTGTAAACAATCGTCCACGGCTCTGACCGCTAAGCCAACTTAAGGCATTTCGACTTGAGAATGGTCCAGGACGGACCGAAACGTCGTCGTCCCTTCACCTTCTAGTGTGTGTGGTTTGGTCAACGTGTTTCAGCCACGTTATTGTGACTCCTCGTCTGCAACTTAAGGTGTTTACGTTGATTAATCAAGACGGGGCATAGTGCCCCTCTTCTGGACCTGTACCCCAGTCACACAGTTCAACGATCAATGCCACTCGAAGTTCCCTTCGAAATGCCACTCGCAGCTGCCTTCGAAGTACCACTCGAGGTTCCCTTCGAAGTACCACTGGAGGCGTCCTCGTAGTAAGCCAGGACTGGATCCAGGTTCTCACTCTCTGCTTCATCATGTGACTTTAGATCAGTTGATGAGAGCCGTCTAGACCAGGAAGGAAAAGAAATTATGAGGAGAAAGCTTTTGTTGTTTTAGATTTAGCTACTCTGAAAGGAATTTCCATGTTGTAACCCCCATGCAGTCTCGGGAGACTATGGAGTTGCGCTCTGGTTGTCAAGGCAGAAGTGCACGTATGTCTGGCCTACGCTTGAAACAAGCCATCGGTGTATATTATGCTACTGAAGCTTGCTCCATATATCTACACGGATTGACAAACCCATCATTTTAATACGTCTCATCTTGTACGTAATGGACCCCAACATATAAATTACATAGTTCTATGAACAGGAGCAGCTCACAAGTAACCTCGATTTCTGTGCATTGATACGTTGGGTTAGACGGGTTGTTTGGGTTCGTTCGTTTCTGCTTAGGCTAGGACTTTGTATTTTGTACGGTGTGGCAAATGAACAGAACGTGATGACTTGACAGAGGCGGTGAAGGCAAGCGTAGTCCCTGTGGAACAGTGGTAAGACACTCGCCCCCCCCCCGCTTCGCCAGCGATTTGGTCTGGATTCGAGGGGATTGACCAGGCGTCAATCCTTAACTGTATGTCTCTGTTCACCCAGCAGTGATTGGGTACCTGGTTGTTGAAAGCTTGGCGGGTCGTATTCCAGGGAAACTAGTAAGGCTTACTAGCTATGGGAAGGGAAAACTCTCAGCCTGCTAACAGGAGTCAGCAGTCGTCTGCTCCTGTACCCACCTGTGTAAAAAAAAAAAGCCCTGGAGCCAGATTCACGAAGCAGCTACGTAAGCACTTACGAACGTGTACATCTTTCCTCAATCTTTGACGGCTTTGTTTACATTTATCAAACAGTTTACAAGCATGAAAACTTGCCAATCAACTGTTGTTATTGTTATAAACAGCCTCCTGGTGCTTCGGAGCTCATTAACTGTTCAATAATTGTAAACAAAGCCGCCAAAGACTGAGAAAAGATGTATAGGTGGTGCGTAAGTGCTTGCGGAACTGCTTGGTGAATCTGGCCCCAGATTACTATTGGCGTCTGTGATGGAGAATATTAAACAAGCAGATGTGTAGTTAGCGACTGAGATTGCTTGGTGGATATACAAGGTTATCTTATATATACATATTTATAATTCCTAACAACGGCAATTGTGTATTCCTTTAATGTTTCCTGTGTTTAAGCCACATCAGCTTAAGCACAGAAAACCTGTGCTTCAGCTCAAGTTTCCCACAACAGTTGTCTAAATCACAGGCACTTACGGGTCCCTCGACAATAAGTCAAGGACGTAGACCACTGTCCTACAGGACCCAATCTTTTGAACTGGTGGAAGAAAACAGCGAGAATTCGAGGGGTAACCTCGCTACTGAACACACCTTGATTGATTGATTGATTGATGAAGATTAAGCCACCCAAGAGGTGGCACGGGCATGAATAGCCCCGTAAGAACACGCCTTGGTCAAGGTAGTCATTATATATTAAACTCCGGGTGGACCCGAACCCTCGGTAGTCCAATATGGCGTCTAAGTTACTTCAGCCAAGACCCTACACCCACCCAGTGATGCAGAGTAAAGTGCAATGTTGAAATATCGTTGATAGCGTTGAATTAGCGTTGATTTAACGTTGACTCGTCGTTGATTCAACGTTGAATTAACGTTGAATTAAGTTTGTCCTGCACCCCCCCCTCTCACTCTGTTTTCTGTGTGATGAATACGTCTGATTACGGGTTATTCATGCCCGTGCCACCTTTTGGGTGGCTTAATCTTCATCAATTATGAATCAATCGTCTGATGTAGTTCCGTTGTAGGCACCTACAACGGTAACCATTAGTAGGCACCCCACGATGTATTTCTTGTACACCCTATATTATCTTGCCTGTAACATTGGAGGCTTGTGGACACCCTGTATCATCGCCAGGACTCTTAAGAGTGGACACATTGTATCTTCTTGGCGACTCTAGTAAGAGTGGACTCTTGTTTCATGGACGTACCTTTACCACTATGTTTTGGTCAAATATGTGTGTGAAAAGAACGAAGATTAATTTCTTTAGGGCGGACCTTTTAGCTCATTTGTCTTAAGGTAATTCGGTGCCATTTGGCTGTTGACCCCCAATTCCTCTTTTTGAAAGTGGCACTTTGTTGACGCTGGCCTCCAGGACTCTGGCACAGTGCCAGACTCTAACAATTCATTTAACATACGTGCCAGTGGTTGGCTGATCTACTAGTATTGTTACTAGACTTTGACTGCCAGAGAGAGAGAGTGTAAGCGACTTCGGTTCTCAGCCTTGGTAACTCTTGGTCTTTGATTGTGAGTCGTAAGTCTTGGATTTGATTCCGGTACTTCTGTACCCTCCTGTGAGAGAGAGAGAGAGAGAGAGAGAGAGAGAGAGAGAGAGAGAGAGAGAGAGAGAGAGAGAGAGAGAG